TTTTTTATCTTTGAATCTGTGAGGAGTTCTGATATGACCCTCAGCCAAAAGTCGTTTGTATTGCAATGCTACACAACTTTTATTTTATTTTTCTGGATTTTTTTCAACTTTCCCCCCGCCTCTTTTGTGCAGGGACTGCCTGGAAGCCTGCCCAAGGTTCATGCCCCTGGCCGTGCACCCTGGTGTGAGTCCGGGTACAAGTTGGGTGCCCGGGCGCCCACCTAAGCAGCCTAGGAAATTGTTTGTTTTCATTTTTTTTCGTTTTTTTTGTTTCCTGATATGGCAGAAGCCGCAGAACCTTTGATCTATATCCCCCTTGCAGGTTGCTGAAATGAGAATTGATAAAAGCCAACATATGTTGGCTAACTCCTTTTGGGTGCAGTAGGCCGAGCCTTTTTCGGACCATTTCTTGACTTATGCGTGACTTCCTTGGGCTGTAGGCCATGCTAATCTTCTCTGTTTGCAGTACACATAGGCCAAACCTTACCATGCCTTCAATTTTACGGTGCCTTCAATTTGGCGGTACCTCCTCTGCCGTACTGTTACTGTTACTGTTACTGTGATTCTTACTGTTACTGTTACTCTGCTGCTCTGCGCTGCTCTGCTCTGGTCTCCTCTCCGATTCTCTCCTCCTCAGTCTACTGTTACTGTTTCTGTTACTGTGATTCTTATGCTTACTCTGCTCTGCTATGGTCTTGTCTGCTCTCCTCTGCTCTCCTCTGCTCTCCTCTGCTCTCCTTCTCTCCTCTGCTCTACGCTCCTCTGCTCTACTCTGCTCTACGCTCCTCTGCTCTACGCTCCTCTGCTCTACGCTCCTCTGCTCTACTCTGCTCTACTCTACTCTGCTATACTCTAGTCTACTGTGCTGTACTCTGCCGTACCCAACTCCACTGTAAGTCCACTCTACTGACTACTACTCTCCTCTGCTGTACTCTCTATTCTCCTCTCCTCCTCTCCTCTTCTCTACTCTTGCCTCTCCTCTTCTCTACTCCCTATTTTCTATTCTCTACTCTACTCCGCTCTCCACTCTCGATTCTCCAGTCTCCACTCTCTGCTCTACTCTACTCTACTCTTCTTCTATCTTATCCATGTAATCTTCTGTCTATCCCACTCCGTCTCTCTCATCCCTTGACACCTCGTCTTTCTTTCTCCTCGCCTGTTCTCTGCTTTCCAGCTCTCCCTCCTTCCCTCTGTTCCTCTCTCCTCACCTCTTCCTCTCTCCTTGCCTGCTCTCCTGCTCTTCCTCTCTCCCTCTTTACCTCTCCCTTCTGTTATCCATTTCCATCTCTCCCGCCTCTGCATTACTCTCTCTCTCTCTCTCTCTCTCTCTCTCTCTCTCTCTCTCTCTCTCTCTCTCTCTCTCTCTCTCTCTCTCTC